AGTCCACTGGAGCGGAGTGACAAGCAGATAGAGGTCATCATTAGATGTTTCGAAGCATTGCTTCACCAGCCATGAAAGGATACCCATTGCAAGAAAGGAAGGAAGGAAGGAAGGAAGGAAGGAAGGAAGGAAGGAAAGAAGGAGAGACTCCCGTCCGTCGCACTCACTCAGTGCCGTAAAGGGAAAGAGGGATATACTGGCCTCTCAGCCAATGAGCGAGGGGCATGGCTGACGTAATCGAGGACACCGACCAGAACGTCATCCATCCATCCTAACAACCTTAGACGCTGTGGAAAATCCACCCCATTGTCTTGTCGCATTCATACCATATTTTCTTCATTTATGATCTCTTTTACCTGCTACTGCTTTACAATCTTACGAAATATATGACTTAAGCTTTTTTGCAGTCCGCCAACGGAAGTCGACGCGGTGTTCTGATCAAATTCTTCCATCCCGAGCAGCCTGACTAGAAATTCGGCTGAGTGCTCGAGCACGCGCGGCACATGACGCCGCCGGCGATCCAAGCAGATATACTTTAGCATCGTGACAGTTACTACTACCAAGATACACAACAACCCTTCATGCTATTCATTACCCCTCTTCTGCGTCACATAATCTGCACATCTGAATCCTCTCTAGCCATCAGTCATGGCGAGAGAGATCCCCGGATTCTACTATGGTACATATACAATGACCACCGCCCAGTAATTTGTGTGTTTCGAACAAATCTTATTAACCATGGTCTCCAGACCCGGAGAAGAAGAAGTATTTCAAGATCCAGGCCAGCCATGCGGCGGCTCCAGGGGCTCAATACTCGAAAGACTCGGTCAAGCGCAAACGCGCCGACCACGAGGTTGTGAAAAAAATGGGGCTCGGAATCACTTGCATGATCTTGCTGACGCCATGACTAGGAACGTCGCCGAAAGGTTCAGCAGATCAAGAGGGAGGCTAAGGAGAAGATAAAGAGGGCGCAACCTCTATCTCACCCTCTTCTTGATGTGCAACGAGAGATCGGCGCCTTGCGTTTGCCCACCACTGTGAGACAGGAGCGAAGTGCGCGTGCCTACACCAGCCAGCTTCGCAGGAACCAGCTGCATCAATTCGAAGCCTGGCCAGATGAGTATAGCATCAAGCACGTGCTGCGTAATAAGCGCTCGGGGATCTTGATTGCTAGTAAGTACTATATATCATACCAAAGAGAAGTCCGCGAAGACCGCAGTGGGAAAAATCACTAACGAACGCCCAGGTGGTCACCGCGGCGGTGAATCGTCCGTGTCGTAAGCGCCCTCTCCGGTCCTTTGAGGTCGTGTATCCGGCAAGCTAACAGCCGTTCAAGGGTGTGCTTCCCGGATTGCGACCAGAACAAATGGACTTACAATCGGACCATGGAACGTGTTCTATTCAAGGAACCGTATAGGGTAAACAGCTTAGCCAGGATCCCCAACTTGTTACTTGTCGGTTTCAACGCTAATGCGGGCTTTTCTTTAGCTTTCGTCCATCTCTTTGAGTCACACAGGATACCTGCTGTAAGAACGAAGTCTCGTCCACCCCTGCATCCGGCCAGGAGATTGACCAGACCAGTTCAACGATGGACAGCGGTCCCCAGGGCGACTCGTTTCTGGCGCCTCGAATGTTGCCAGACCCAGATGAAGGCGGCGACTACCGATGGCCGCCATCCTGTATGTGACCCCTTCATTGTCTGAAGAACCTGGATGACTGATACGTCTCGATATAGTCCTTCAACCAATTCGCATTCGCACAGCAGCGTCTTTGTGGTGTTCTTCGGCTTGTCCAGTGGGAGACCACCCGCTATTTGCTGTTGGGGCATCTGATGGCTTGTATACTCTACAAGGATACGGAGCGTACTGGGCCTTGTCGAAAAAGCCGTTCTCCGACGATGTGAACGCGGGCAAGCCGATCCTCAAACGACGCATTGGTACTTCCCATGCCCTCGTCACCAGCGTCGAATGGTTGTCCTCGGATGTGATCGCGGCCGGACTCAAGGACTCTTCTGTTTTCCTGCATGATCTCCGGAGCGGGGGAACCGCGACACGACTCCAACATCCACATGCCGTCACAAAGATTCGCAGGGTGGACCCTTACCGAATGGTCGTTGCAGGGATGAACTCTGTAAGGAACATTTGATTTCTCTTTGACAAGGATGAAGCTGACTCTAGCTCAGCTCCAGATGTACGATATCCGCTTTCCGCCCAACGGGCTTCAACCGAAACCGCAACCGACCAGCAAGAAGCATACTTCCACGCGACCCTATCTCACTTTCCAAGACTTCAAGCCCCAAGTCATACCAGACTTCGACATCAGTTTGGAGCTTGGGCTTCTAGCCAGCGGTACGTGCATCCATCCTATTCCCACTGGACCATTTTCGTCCCTCGCAAGAACGCCACGCTAAACTCCGTGTGCTCAGCCACCGACACGGGCAAGATCCAACTGTTTTCTCTGCGCAACGGGGAACAGATTTCTTCACCCTTGTCAAACTACCAGTATGCAGACCCCATCGCCTCCGTCTGCTTTGAATCCGGCGATGCGCCATTTCAGGGGCCTCAGACACCAAGCCTACTCGTCTGCGCCCAAGCCACAGTCGATGAATGGATATGGTAGAAGGAAACAATCCAAGTGGGCCTTTGTATAAAGGTCTATCTATGCACCAAACGCCTATATGATGCCTGGGATATGAGTGTGAACAATACATGAATCAAAGCAAGTAAAAGAAAGCAAACAACCCAGAAAAAACCATCAGAAGAAAAGAAGGGTCCTCCTAATCCAGACCTCCCGCCAACCATTCGCCCACCTCTACGCCGACCGTCTTTGCCAACTCCCCGATCCAGTCCCCTGAAACATTCACACACCATTTCTCCCCCGTATCGGACGTGGTATTCCCGCTACTCAACCCACCGGACCCCATCCCCACACGACCTTCCCGACCCGCCGCAGGCACCACCAACCGTAGCCGCCGCAACGTAGCCAATTCGGCATAGATCGCGTCGGACACGGCCGCCATGCGAATCGGATTGGCAGGGGGGTTGGGGTCAATGGCATGGTAGATGGCGACCAGCCGCTCCAGCGGGAACGGGCGCGCGGTGAGGATGGTCGAGGGGCCAGTGATGCCGCCACCGCCGCCGACCGCCGACGTCGTCGCGGACGAGGTCGCAAAGGCCGACTCCAGCGTCGACTTGGTGATCTTCGTCTTGGTGCGCTTGCCCTTCTTCCGGCTGCCGGGAGTCGACGGGTCCGCCGCCGCCGACGCAGCATCCTCCAGCTGAGCCCGCGAGAGCAGCTTCAGCCGCCGCCGGTGATGCGCGCGCTTGTTCCGCGCGGACAGCGAGGACGACGAGAACTTGGAGAAGAAGATCGTGTCCAGGCGTTGCGGCGTGTGCGAGGCGAGGTAGGCCGAGGTCAGGATCAAGGTGGGGAAGTACGGCAAGGAAGGCAGGGGCGATGGGGCCGATGCGGCAGCCAGGGATTTCGGTCTTTTGGTGGAGGAGACGGCGGTCGTACCCTTCGCGACGGGCGGTTCCGCCTCATCCTCCTCAGTGACGATGTGATGCACCAGCGCCCCTTCCCCCTGATGCCGGAACAGGGCCCGATTCTTGACCAGCAGCCGAGTGAAATCCCACTCCCCGACGCCCCCCGGCGGAGTCTCGCCTGTCGTGATGGGCGCCACAAACCGCGGCCACAGCTTCTCGCAGATCGACCGGAAGGTCGGAATGGAGCTGGCCGTCGGCCCGACCAGAGAATCGTAGACGGCCGCCACGAAATGCGGGTATAGGGTCGAGGCGACCGCGTCCGATAGCCCTAGGGTGGCGGCGGCAGCCGGGGGCGGACCGCTCTGGAGGATGATGGTCGTGGCTTCATTGCGCGTGTAGGGCGGGAAGCTGATATGTGGGACGCCGGCCGATTGTAAGAAGAGCGGTCGCGGAGGGGTACTAAGGACGAGGACGACGCATAGCGAAGGAATCTGTGATATAGGCCGAAAAATCGATAGTAGTCAGCAATCAAAAGCCAAGGGTTCCAATGCAGAGGATGAACACAGAAAGCGATCCCCAGTCATCCACAGGGGTAAAGAAGTAGGGGGCGGGGCGAAGAAAGAAGAACATACCACCTCTCCCAGTCTCGCCAGCGCAGGCAGTAGTGTAGGTGATGCCTCTCTCTGCTTGTCAATCCCATCAAGAACCAGCACGAATTTGTTGCGATTGTTGCGCGTCGGCGGGTGTTGTTCTTGTTGCGAAGAAACGAAAGCCGAAGCGAGACACTCGTTCAGCAGCACAGCGAGCGTACTGACGTGTTCGCAGCGTCCCTTGCCGTACTTCTCCCACTCATCCCGCTTGCCCAGCGCCTCCAGGGTGGCCCAAAGGATCTTGGTGAGCAGATGGCGGCCGGTGATGCACTCGGGGCTGCGGACGAGCGCGTGCGGGACGTCGAGGGCGGCGAGCACATTGCGCACGATGGTGGTCTTGCAGGTGGCAGAGATGCCATGGACGACAATGGTAGATGGGCTTGAGACCTTGGCCTGTTGGATTCCGCATACGTTGTTAGTTTTGCTGGTTTTGTGAGCGATAGATAGAGCCAGAAAGAAGAGATGGCCTTGCGACGTTGACCGGGGGGGGGGCAAAGGAGAAGGGTTTATCGGGGACACAAATTCGTGGACGGACGTACACCGAGCAGGCTAGCAAGTTGGCGGCTTTGGAGCTCGCGACAAGGCCATTGTTTGCTGATCGACTGGGCGACCTCGGAGGGAAGCATCAGGAACTCAAGACGACACCCTGAGGTGCCTGGAAGGTGGACGCTGCTTTGACTTGGAGTAGTAGAAGAATGGTTTGGGGCAGATCGCGCTCCGATAAGCCAAAGCAAGCACTGAAGATCTCCGCCGGAGAAGAAACGCGGGTAACACGGAGTCACGTGTTTGATGCTTTATGCACCACCCTGGCCATTAATTGTTTATGCTTAGGTGATTTATAGTGGTTCTAACTGTAGAACCGTGATCATAAAGAAAAAAATCCTCTGTTTGATCAACTATGGGTACATCTATGGTACTGTCTCCGATGTTGAACGGCGCTGGCCAATAGAAATTGGTGGTCATAGACCCCAAATGCACTTGCAGCAAAAGAACAAGCACAATGTCGGATGAAGCCCGAAAACAACCATCCGTCCATACTGTCCAGATAAGTCCAGAAAGAACGGCCACAAGCTCCACCGGCAGGCAACAACATAGCAGAGTCCAGGTAGACGACAAAATAGAACGCAAAAGAAGACGAGCAAAACCAGATGATAGTTAATAGAAAACAAGGCGAGAGAAAGATGGCACAAGTAAATCATGGGAAAGTGGATAGAAGCATATTGGGGGAATATTAAAAGAAAGCGCAAGGCATGAGACATCAATCTACCCCCAAGCCAGATACTAGGAAGCTCACTAGTCTGCTGGAATGGGAAACAGACGGCAAAAGGGTTTAAACGACATTGGTCGAAAATTTCTCGTCGAAGGACGTGGCAAACGTAAGCTCTGTTAGCAATGGAAAAAAAATACAGGACATCAAATGTGATAAAAAAGCATGTATCAATGGTTTACATCTTGCCGCCAAGAATGATCCAGATATGCAGTGCATCTTGCGTGAGATAAGGTCTTGTCGTATGGGATCAGTATCCTAATCTTCCAATCTGCTGGCGATATGTCGGTGTGGCCGTGAATCATGAGGATCGTTTCATCGTCTCAATATGAGTACAGTTCAGTAAACATGGGACTGGCGCTTCGTTGTGGAATATCGCAGCTCAGTAGTTGGCGAACACCGGATTCTGGTTACTGTGGTTGCTGTTGGGCTGCGCAATGGCCGAAGCGAAAAGGCTGCTTTTGTCCGCAGCACCGCCAGAACCAGTGTGAGCGGCTGCAACGGAGCCAGGATTGAATGCATATGTCTGGTTTCCAAACTGGGAACCGACATGAGAAATGGGGAATGGGTTGTGTTGATACAAGAATGACTTCTGTGTTGGGCTCTGCAGAGGACCAGGAAGCTGGGCTGAGTTCATTTCATTGGGAGTGACCTGGCCACTGCTAGTAGCGCTGCCCCTGCTAGAGCCCTCTGAGGCCAACATTTTGCCGGCGATGCGACGCCCATGGGGGGTCTGGCGAATAGACGGTAGAATAGGGCGAATACAATCAACAATGCGTGTACGTGTGTCAGCGTCCGCAAAGTCCATTGCTGTTTGCACGACATAATTGGCGAAGGAGTCCCTAAGCATCTTTTCGAGTTCCGCACCTGCCAACATCTCATCAATCAGCTGGCGTCTGATATGGATGTCAGCAGTGCGCAAGCACTTTTCAATCACGTTCGAGCTGAACTTCTGCTTGGACAGAGCGGGAATATTTCCACGGAAAGTCTGGCACAGAGGTTCAGTGAAATGAGGCTCTGCAAGATCCAGAATATACTGCACGACGTAATTTCCGAAAGGATCCTGTACAAGTGCGAAGGCGTTGGATGTAATCTGAGCGATGAGACGCGCCCTCTGCTCGCCAGAAGCGTGATCGATACAACGCTGCAAAACACAACACCCATGCCGGTGAGTTCCGACAACCACACAGTTGGCACCAACAGCATCGTAGATGAACTGGGCGTCTTCTGCAGAGAGGCGGTTGAGACATTTCTGAATAACATGGTTTCCATTCAGGTCTTGAACCAACTCCACCACCTGATCCTTCAAAGCGTGAATCACTGTCTGGATTTGCTCTGGAGTGGAGATGAACTCGATCATCTTCTGAAGAGCTCGGGTGCCATGCTGATTCAAAGCGATCTTCACCAGCTGGTGTGCAGCATTGTTGATTAGAGCCGTACGCTGGTCATCATTTGAATATTCCAGTAGCTTCTGGCACAAGTAATTTCCAAAAGGATCTGTCATGAAAAGGAAATGAGGTCAGCATGGGAGTTGTATAGCAGTGGAGACATGATACGAACCTGTCATAAGCTCGACAACATGCATATGAGTCTCCTCGAAGATCATCTGAACATGTTCTGGACTACGCTCTTCTAGCTTTCTCTGCAAGTACCTACACCCATGCTGGTCCTTACAAAGACCGTACAGTTCGCCCTGATAGTGTTCAAGTGGAAAGTTCGTGAAACGAGACAGCTGGGCAGTATCTGCGTCACCACTCCGACGGGTACCAGCCCCCTTGGCTGGGGCTTCCCCTGGGCGGAAATGACCATAGGCGGAAGGATAGCCATTGAAGGGGGCTGCCGGGTTGTACGCTTGAAGCTGTGTAGGAGCTCCCATAAATGCTTGAAGGCCATACCCGTAGAAGGGTGGCTGGAAGGGAGTCAGTGTGGTTGGCGCAGCAATGTTGCTGTTGATAGCTCCGGCTCCAGTGGTGAGCTGCGGGCCGAACGGAGCAGCACTGGCTTGAAGAATCGTCTGCTGAGGTCGGGACCCCTGGATTTTAGCCTCCTCATGTTCAGGTGAGTCCTTGGGTAAGCGATTGGTAGGACCAGAGCCTGGCATCCGTCCCAGGTTGGCATTATGTGGCTGGAATTGCTCCGCGTGAGTCTTGGGAGGTGTGATAGCCGGGTTGAAGGCATCGCCTTTGACTGTGGGTAGATCGTTCGTGGAGTAGGAGGACTGCAAAGATGTAGGTCGGTTTGAGACTGTTGCAGACATGCTTTCGGTTTTGCCGTCAGCGCCGTAGAGAACGTTCGCTTCAAGCGAGTGTCTGGCGACGTGACGTGCAGGAGTAGCGGAATGAGAGTGGACTTCTTCCGCGGAAGACCCAAGCTGTTCAAGACGGAACATGTTCAGGGCGTTCTGAGGCATGCTCTGATGCGAGGTACGGTGACGGCTGTGAGAGTTCCAGGTCTCAGGGTTCGGGGTTCGCGAGTTTGCCAAGTCTAGAGCATCTGAGTTCGCGGATAACTAGGTAGATGAGTAAGAACAGGATCGTCAAATGTTTCGAGGAGACTTACCAGGCCTGAATCGTCACGTCGTGAGAGAGTAGGAAATTTATCGTCGGGGTCCGTCAATTTGAGATAACTCTTGATATCGGGCGTTGGAATTCGATCCTCGTCCTTCAGCATTGATGGATCGTCTTCGCTGTGGAACAAGTACTTTGCGGCGTTGAAGGACTCCAGACCGGAAGAGCGATCGAAGGAAGTTATATTGGGACGAATCTGGGAGCCTAGCCCAGATGAAGGCATTGAATACCGGTGAATGCTAAGTATTGTCAGTTGGTGACTCTTTTGAGGTATGAAAAGCAAGGCGGTGAGAAGAATCTTTGAGGCGGTGAAAGAGGTATCAAGGAGATGCCAGGATGCTGTGAAAGAAGACAGAGGTGGCATTCCACAGTGGCTTGGGTATATTCACAGCAAGGCCACAGTGAATGAATTGTGTTACTTGCTGACATCGGAGCCTTGCAGGCCGCCTCACTAGACCTTGCGGGCATATGCTCTCAGGCAGTGCCTGAGTATCCGAGAAATGGCAAGACAGTGCCTATGAAAGAGAAAGGGGTGAAACTTACGATGGCCCTGGACGGAAAGAAGATGCAGGCTCCTGGCCGAAATCCTCCTTTTCAGAGTTCCTTCGAGAACCAGGAACAGAGTGAACAGAAAATCGATTTGTCGGGGTCTGCGCAGAGCTATGGTTTACTTGACTCTGGGGAGTTGTCACTTGAGATGGCGCGAAAACGTTGAAGAAGCCAGGAGATGAAGTCACACTGGAGGTTGAAAACCGAGTAGGACGGGTGAAGCCAGGAAGGGTGTTATCATGGTATTCTGGCGGCGTCGTCGGCTCACTGACTGGTCCAGACAAACCGGCTTTGGCGAGATCCTTTGCGATTTGGTCCATTTCCAGCTTCTCTTTCTCGTGTTGCAAGTCTAAGAGTTTCATGTCTTCTTCAAACCTCCGTCTCTGCTCTCGCATGTATTCAATATGCTGGCGCTTTTTCTCAAACTGCAGTCAATTAGCAACAGGGCACCTCTGAGCGCCGAGCACAAGAGAACGCGAGAATGCAAGAACACGATGATTCGCATGCCAAGAACACGGAGATCTGAGGACATGCGCTGGGCTTATAATACATCAGAGTAGGGAAAGCGGTGCTTGTCTACAGACAAGAAGTGGGTGTTCGAGTACAGGAAAGGACAGTTAAGTGGTTGTAAGAACCGCTTCATGAACTGCAAATACAGCCAATAATCACCACACAGGGCAGGAACAAAGGCCTTGCTTGCAAGCACACGGCACATGAGTGTTTAACAAACAGTCATAGTACCGGAACCGCTTGGTCGAACGTGATTGCATAGGAACAAAACACCAGGTCACAACAAGGATATCCAGGAAAGATACCAGACTCACCGATGAAAGGAGATCTAGAGGGTCCGCCGCCGGTGCACCCCCACCAACACCATTCATATAGTTCCATGAGGACACTTTACTCGAGTCTGTTGTGAAGCGGCGTTGGAGATTGGCACGAACGTCACCGGATGGACGCGAAAACGCCGACACGAAGTTCGAATGGGTCGGAGAGAGCGCATTGTAGCCAGGAAATGGAGATTCGGAGGGAGGTGATCGTGGAGAGGGGAATCGCAGCTCGTCGAGGCGTTCACTAAGTCCGTTTTTAAATGCCATGGTAGGCGGGCAGTTTGGGATGAGAATCACTGGACTAATAACCATTCAGGGGTGGCCGTAATCAGTCAGTGAACAGGCTATAACATGGTAGGAACGGAAGGTGATGCGAGTTCGGGGGACGTCAATCTCAACCTGCGATTGCAAGGGAAACAGAGAGAAAGACCGAGATTAAAGCACGAGGGCCAAGGAGTCAGGGATCAATGGCTGGTGGGCGGTGTGCTCCGTGAGATAACGAGCTCTGTACGGAGTAAGGGGACGGGGAGGGGCTGAGGGGTGGTTTGGCGGAGCTGATCTCGGAGAAGAACAGCGACTCACACACAATGAACGCCTCGAGAGTTTATTTTTTCAGGTACGAAAAGAGACTTTGGTGACCACTACTTGTGGACACACAAGTAAGGACAGGCTTGATGGAAGGGGAAGGGATGGGGAGGGTGGAGGAGTGTTGAGGGTAGGTCGCACCCCTAACGATGCGTTCGTGACAATGCGGAGATCTCGGTCAATAGCGGTGGTGGTGAATCACAAGCGTTGGGCGATGGAGTCACTACTGCTTAGGCCCTGCGCTGTCTTTTCCTTTTCCTTTTTTTCTTTTTTTGCCCAGGTGGGGAAGAGGATCAAGAGCAGCGTGGACCAGCAAGTAGCAAAACGAACGAACGAGGGTAGGAAGACTTTGGGGGGGGAGAAAGAATGCAGAATAAGAATGGTAAAATAGAATAAGGATTGATTGTTGTACAGTAGAGAAGGTGTGTCAGGTACGGAGTACACGAGAGGGGATGGAAGAAGGAGAGCGGGCAGGCTGACTGACTGACTAGAGTGTGGGAGGCGGCAACAGAGAGGGGGGGAGGAGGGGGGAGGGGGCAAGGCGTGGGCGGCTGGGAAAGACAAGCGGGGGTCAGGGAGGCGGCGGCGGCGGCCACTGCTGTTTCTGCGATCGAGTTCCGTTTTTTCTCCTTTAAATCTAGAAAAAAGAAAATTGCAATAATATCGAAGAAGCTCTTCTACGTACGTACAGTCAAAAAGTCTGAAGTACTGTAATTGTACATACATACTATTACACAGAGCTATATCTACTTCACTGTTGGTGTCGATGGTGCTTCTACCTTCTTATCGGCGCCCGCCCCCAAGCGTTAGATTGCATCATAACTCTCATCCCTCTTTCTCGAGTATAACTACCTGACCATCTGCCCTCATCTATTTCCTGTTTCTTGACTTGCGCAGTGCAGTCAAGTGCAATTCTGCTAAGCCAGGCAGGTGGCACAATTCGATCTTGAAGATGATCCCTTGAAGACTAATAGGTCCATCCCTGTTCCATTTGTTGATAATCAATCTATTAACCCCTCCGACAGCTGGTGAGCTGTCGCTTTCCAACGACCACCTTTCGGTCGATCATTTGCTTTTTGGGCGGATCATGAATGGATCGCTTCTTCGCGATCAGTAATTGGAGCCAACCGGGTCAATAGACATACTACTGCACGACTTCGTTGGGATGGGGTGGCCAATAGCCACTAAAGTTACCCAAGATTGAACTAGTAATCTATAACTAACTAGCACGCTCCATAATCCATCATCCCCTGGTAATCTCCCTCTCGCAGGGTTGAATATTATGATCATGATTATGTTCACCGCGTTGAATGATCCAAAGTAATTATTGACGAGGAAGTCCTCCGAGCCACGGGCTTGTCGGCCTTGGAGAATGCTCTCCGTTTCCAGCAGCGCAACGAACCGGTATCGTCGGAGATCACAACCATGATGATGAAGGAAAGTCTGTTCATGATGGGGCTTATTACCGATCTCCTCCCTGCTGGAGATGTTGCAAGGGGGTTCCCTGCTCGGTGTGCTGGTTCGAGAGCGTGGCTCTCTGCAAGTGTCTTCGCATCAAGTGGAGACAAGCCAGTTGACTAAACCGAAAACTGTGACGGCGGATTGCGCCCTGGCCACCGCACGTACTGTGCCTGGGCCAAAGCATCCCACCGGATACCCTAGTCTAGTTGGAGTCGTTGGACACTGAGAGAGAGATCGGGCTCTCGAACAAGTACATCCTGCTGCAATGAACGACGAGTGATATTTTCGAGTGCTAATAGCGGCTGCGGTGCAAGTCATGGTAGTCTCGAGAAACACCAATGTATCGAGCATAGGCCTAAATTCTTTCTTTTTTTTTCGGCCCTCCAGGACCATGACTGTGCATGTAGTAAGACGGAATGATCCTCTGATTCAGACCCCGTCTGAGGATACTCATACCTAAATTAGCGCATGGGATCTGCGTCATGAATATCACCGATCGTGATCAAGGTTAGTTAGCCCAAGCTGTCAGAGAGGCTTTGGGACTTTTGGAGGATTCGCCTCTTGAACGATACCGCGGGCCCAGGCAGTGATCTTGGCCGGATTACCACCCTTTCTTTGTCTTGTTGACATCCATGATACTTCCACCAGGTCACCCTACCCTCTTCTCCAAAGAAACATTAGGTTTCTGGCCAGGTACTAATTTTGAACCGGGAGTCCGTACCAGGGTTCATGACCGGATCTTCACAACTATGAATGCAACAATTAACGGTGCTGTCAGCCTCTACCCATGGATCAAGCAAATCAACGAGCCAACTCGAGGGAAAAGGGGGGAAGACGCGCGTGGCGTGTAGTCTAAGCGTATCATACATAAGCAAAAAATAGAAGGTCGAGGCCAAATTGATCATGGATGATTCAATTCCAGTCTCATTGCAGTGCTGTTCTTCCGGGTCGTAATTTCGCCATCATGGATCATGTCAGGCTGAGTGGCTGTCAGCGGATGATTGGTGCAGCAGAGGAGAAGCGGTGTACCACTTCTCCGCTTCCTTCCATCGCCTTCATTGTTTTACATTGTCTTAGCCTACTAGGTACAGTACTCCGTACCAGGTAGTAAGTACGGGGCACTCCCTCTTCGTCTCCTCACCTTGACGTTTTGACCGCTGTCTGTCATCCGCCCATCTTCTGAGACCCTTCATACTCGAGATTTGGACCTTCAGGGGACAAATTGTGACACCTCCACAGCTCGGACGATATGTGGGGTACTAGGAAGGGCTTGGTTCTTGCGCCCGGCTACCAACCAATTCGCCTACTTGGTTAGGCGATCTGTACATCATTCCATGAGATGAGAGTCAAATTCAATCCCACTAGGTATGATCAGGTACTTACCCTCATCGCTTGTTGGGTAGGCATCGTACCATGGTCACAATGATGTGCGGGACGGAGGCTATTTTAAAATACCTAACTTTGAGATCCAATTTGATCTGGTGCATGCCTATGATGCTAATTTACACCTACTTGGAGAACTACAATTAGTAAAGCATGTATTGTTCGATCCTCTGCTCCGCAGGCTACTTCGGCCCCAGACGATCTACCGCCGCACGGAGAGATATAGGTAGTGTGTTTCATAGTAATCTCAGCACATTATCCTCTGCGGATTGTTTCAGATTCGTCAAGTCCTACTAGTCAGTAATTTAGCGTGATAAGTGGCTAAAAATCGAACTGCATCTGGTTGATCATGTATGGCACCTTTCATCGTCTTCCACCTTGTTTGAACAGGCGCTGGGCTTTGCGTGGTCAACCACGAGTCGATGGGATCAAAATAACACGTGATGAAGGAGAATAATTCAATATATGATCTGTATCATGCAATGCATTTCCCGTCTCTCCGCGGTGCACGAGGGGCTTTCCACCAGCTGCAACTGATCGTTATCAAACAACCTTGATTATCTCCGAAAGGGAGGGGAGAGTCAACTGCCAGGTGGCGAGGCACCCTTCATTTCCCCTCTCCCTCCCTCCATCCCTCCAAATTGCGGTCAGAAAAGCACCCACCGCCACAGCAATCTTCATTACTCATTTGCTCTCTTGCGCATACCTCTAGCCGACTCCAGACTTTAGCTCTGATGTTGTGCGGTGCGTCTGATGTCAAATGTGCGCGAACCGCGCCTTCGCCTTAACCCACATTTGGCGCCGACAAGCCTAGCTCGCGATCAGAGACACAACATATCTATCCTCTTGAACCGATCACTCTCATGCCCAACCCCGCACACTATGTAGCTGGAAGGGTATAAGGTGGTTCCAATTGGGTTCACCGGAGTTTTCTGCATATGTGATGTCCAATGCGGCCATCACTGATGAACTGTCCGCCGACCTTGAGGACGAATCTCAATGAAAGGAAGAGTCCCCTGCCAGTATCCCGAATCAGCATTACATTTGAAATCCTTGTGTAGATACCACGGCTAATTTATCCATTATACCATTGCATTGAATATCAGTGGTCTATAGTGTATAACCTGAACAAGTTGCGAGTTTGTTCAGCCGACGAAACCACACCAAGTAGGCGCACGGTGCTTGGGCTTGATCATGGCCAATATCGATTATATGCCTGACCGAATCCCACCAAGTGTCAATCAACTGCCGAAATCTTTTCATCTATCGGCTCACTACTATTTGTAGCTCACTGTCCGATAGCTCGCACGAGTCCAGTTGCTCGAAAAGCAGGTTTTCTCCAAGAGACTGTTCGCATACCCTCATGCCGAGCTTGGGTAACCATGCCTGCACTCTTTCCAAGCAAGATTACTCTCCTCCACAGCGTGGAATCAATTCTGGTCGGCTTTTTGGTGAAAGTGACTCTGAACTGATCAATGGACTTGTCAGGAGGGTAAATCTGTGGCACGACCAAGATCTTCTGTACAGAAGTCAAAGGGTTAACCAGCTGACGTATCGTGTCCAGGCACGTTAGATTGTGATAGGGCTTGGTATTGTGGTCAATGTTCAGCGACAGGCTTGTCTTTTGATTGCCTGAGATGCCGGTGCAGGTGCTACGGCTACCTCTTAGGAGCTCGATACCCAAAATCTCTATGCGAAAGAGAAGGTTCAATACTTGGGATGCATCAGACTTCCATGTGCCTGCCTAAAGGTGTGGTTCGCAACAAGCATGAATGTTCTTTTCAGTAATGACTTGGACGAGGCGCTGGTCACGCAAGATCCTGGGGCTTCATAAAAGACAGATAAACAACAAATACTCAACAGAGAGAAACAAAGTACTTGATCGTGACTCAGTTGGTAGCGTGCAGTCCCAAGCATTCTCGTGATCGGAATGGCTCACCTTTTGTTGAGAGGAATATCCCGCCGAACACAAGGAGATGGGCCAGCATCTCGCCACGGTCTCTTCAAGCCAACCTACGTCACCAGTAGTCTAGTCACGCAGGCCATAGTGAATCTTGTTAGCAAGTAGAAAAATCAGGGTACCTCAAAGGAGGGAATCAATCCAAGCTGCGTAGGAAGAACTTGCAAATCGAAACAGCTCTTTGAGTGGTGATCTATTGCACATCCCTTCAACCCATTTGAACCGGATCTGTCTCCAATCAATAATCTTTTAGCTTTCAATCATTGACTATACAATCCCACAGAGCTCTCGCCCCTTCTCGCACCAAACAAAGGGCATAGAGAAAGCCTAAGACTTGAGCGGACATGGTCCCTTTCCTCCTTGAGGAGTAGGGCATCATAAAACCGCGTCACTCGAGCCACATCCCAAGCATCGGGTCGAGAAGGCGCAAAGCCAGATCCCGCAGGCCACGAGAAAGAGGAGAAAGCAGGGGCAAAATAACACGCGATCGACCTAAAATCAAATATGGGTGTGGTCCCGGGGCGAGGTCGATTATAAGCAAAGTCCTTCTCTTTCTTAGCCCTTGGGAGGGAAAGCTCCCGGGGTCATAATAGCCGCATGCATGGATGCACATGTAGGCCCTAAGGTGACATGCTCTTCGTGCACTGTGCTGTATATGTACAGGAGTACCCTCTATGTAGCCCTGAGTAGAAGAAAATCCATGACACTGCTTGACTTCTAGCTAGCATAGCTCGGCGCGGTCAATGAACTCGAAGACATGACTAAGGTCTGGCCTGAGCAAATGCGCAGTGGGGAAAAATATGAAGGAGAGAAAGCAGGGCGTTTTCTTCTTTCTGCGTCTCTCATAGCCCCAGCCGGATTGGATCGAATTGCCTGGCTGTACAAATTGTTAGCGATCTATTGCCGCTCATTTGATGCTCTACTCACACTAGTCGGTACCTGATAACCAGCCGACAAGAGTGTCTGCCGTCAGATAGTACTAGCACACGCAGCGCATCGCATCAAAGAGAGCTGAGTGAAAGTATGCTCATTTTCGCAAACCCCATGAGTGAGAGCTTGGACTGTCAGGAGCTATCATTTATGCATAGGGGATCAAGCTTTGCTCGCCCCCTCAGACATGGCGACTGTTCATCCAAAGAGGCACTCGGGAGACTGTTGCGCCAGCGGCTCTGTCATGTGTCACTCCGTGTGAGGATGAGGTGCTTGGCTGGGGATCAATCTAGCTGCGGGAGCAACCGCGTTGATCATGGACGCGAGGCCATCAATGCACGGACCAGTTCAACCAGTCACTTAGGAAACTCTTTTCGACGAGGACTCGGCTCGACCCAACTGATAAATCCAATGCCTGAAAGGGCTGAGGTTATTCACCTCGCAACGGCCCGGTTCCCAGCCACAACATGGATCTCACCTTGGACTTTCGCTTCTTCGAATGGATTTGATGCTCAGAATGAACATTGCCAGACTCACACCGAAAAGTAATCCCTTTGATATTAGCCATTCTGGTTATCGACGAAGACTATAATTCTTTCCAAGACACATCTGGAATATAGTTGCATTTGAAGAATATTTAGTTTATATTGACCGACTGGCCTAGTGGTTACGGCGCTCGTCTTACAATCTCCACATTGATTACACGAGAGATCGCAGGTTCGATCCCTGCGTCGGTCATATACTTCTGCAATTTCTTTTTGCTCTCGCTCCGAGGCCTACATATCTCTCCAACACCAAAGACTGTGTCATTGATCTCTTGAGTAGTCTGTTGTGACCTTTCTCAAGCAAGAAATGTCTTCTGAAACACACTTGCTCATGAATGATATGTTCTTTTGCGTCCTCCCTGGTTCGTTGAAACCACACTCTCTTCGCAAACTACAAGTCATGTTTACAGATGTTGAGACGCGCATTCCTTCTGTACTGGCGATTGTACGATTTAAAGTATTTTTCTAGCTGAAGAGATAGAGTGGTGCATCTATCAGTATAAGCAAAAGTGTCTATGGCTAGCCATCATGGTAAGACTGTCTAATTTTTGTGCCCATGCACACTAGCATTTATGTATGCCTCACTAGTGCAAGCATACCTGGGTCGATATGAGTGTATCTTTACAGCGTATTCTCAATGGCCTTCGCTCCCTGGTAGCATGCAGTCCTGACATAAGAAAATCACGAAGCATCTTTGTCCAGACTGGCCACTGCAGAAGTGCTGAGATTACTAGTAGTTCGATGGTGAGGGTGGGTCGTATCAAATGCCGTCAGTGGATCCGGGTGTTTCCAGAGCTATGGTCCCTTTCCCCTCTTTCATTGTTCCCTTTAACTGCCCCTCTTTCTCTCATGGTTTATGAAAAGCATCGGTCTCACAACCAGTTGTTAATTCTGAGGCTCATCTTGTGATTCCACCCTGCCCTCCCACAATCCTATAACCATGAAAATCCTCCAGAAACCTCCGCGATATGTCACTGCTAGTATATTGTGCTCCTGCGGAGGACTCCTCTTTGGGTACTTATTTGCTTCTGACCCCAGTTATCTCAACTTCAATACTAATGCCTAAATATTAGAATGGATACAGGGATCATTGGCCCCGTGACCGTCATGGAAAGTTTCACCTCACGGTTCGGAAGCCAGGCTGCAGTGATTCACGGGCTGATCGTGTCGTCCATCCTTATTCCTGCCGCAATATCTTCATTCTTTGCAGGTTACTTGGCAGACAAACTGGGTAGGCCAAAAGGCATCAGTATTGGTGCCTTGATATTTGGAATTGGAGCAGGCCTCGAGGCAGCAGCTGTTCACATTGGCATGTTCGTAACAGGGCGATGCATCGAGGGCATAGGGGAGGGCTTGTACCTTGGAACTTTGGTAGTGTATGTCCGACCTCCCTCCCCTCCAAACAAAGTCAGTCTGTCTGACGCTACACAGTTATATTTGCGAGATTTCGCCGCCCGACGTCAGAGGTGCTTTAACCACCGGCCCTCAGTTGCTCATCACACTGGGTTTGGTAGTGGGTTTCTTCACATGTTATGGAACGGCTCGCCTGGAATCTTCATTCTCGTGGCGTACTCCCTTCCTGATTCTTGCTTGTTTGGCAGTGGCTTTCTCGGTTGCTTCTTGGCTCTGGCTGGTCCCGTCGCCCCGATGGTTGACCATTCACGGTCGCCGAACCGAGGCTACTGCGGCTTGGGACTACCTGGGGGTAAGCCAGGCGGAACGCGAGAAGGCTGAAATTGAGCAGGACAGAGTTCTTGTCGCTGAAGTTGTAAGCACCTCCAGCAGAGAACGTGCTTCATCAGTTCCTCAGGCCCAAGCAAAGTCAGCCAAGGACAAGATTTTCGATCTCTTCTCTAAAGACGTTCGGACTCGCACCATTCTAGCTGTCTTCCTCATGGGAATGCAACAGCTCAGTGGGATTGACGGTGTTCTTTATGTAAGGTTCTCCTCGCCAACCTCTGGTGATCACAGCACTCATCTCTTGTCTTCTCAGTATGCTCCTCTTCTATTCGAGCAAGCAGGACTTGCATCCTCGTCAGCAAGCTTCTTCGCTTCCGGCGTCTCTGCAATTGTTATTTTCGCTGTCACTATCCCTGCACTCATATGGGCCGACAAATGGGGTCGTCGACACAGTACCATTTATGGTGGCATCGGCCTCAGCATCACGATGCTTCTGATAGGAGCTCTATATGCAAGCAGGGCAGTTCACAGCTCAAGTGGAGCGGGGCGATGGGTAGTCATAGTCAGCATCTACATATTTGCCGTGATATACTCTTTGAGCTGGGCTGTCGGCATTAAGATCTATGCAGCAGAGATACAGCCACAAAGGACTCGTGCCTCAGCAACTAGCTTAGCTCACGGGAGCAACTGGGCGGCTAACTTCCTAGTAGCACTTGCTACACCAATTCTACTTTCGAGAAGCAGCTTTGGTGCATATTTCCTATTCGCGGGATGCACACTTGTCACGACCTTTGTATGCGCAGTCATGATGCCAGAGACCAAAGGCAGATCGCTGGACGAGATCGAAGAAGCATTCAAGTCGAAGGCTGTGGGCTCGCAGTCCCTCCTGAATGTTCTTCGCCGGACCACCCGATCTATGCCCTGATCAGCGATGGTCGCCCGGAATAATTCGATCTGTGCACAAATTGCAATTGAACTGATGACAACCGACAGATTCAAGGGGTGGGTCAAAGCGTCAGCGTTAGCCGGAGATAAGGTAAAACAGCGGGCGGGGCCGAATGACATTCTGATTTGGGGTTAGCACGAGAATTTGTAAGCCGGATTAAGATCTAACCATATAAGGATAGCTTCGGATTATGTAACCTGCCCCTCTGCCGAATGGAAAATAGTTCGGATAATCCCCTCGCTGATAAAGAAGAAATTGTGCCGTCAATCTAGAATGCCGTGACGCCCGCTCTTCACCACCCTTGATCGACCTGCAGCAAGACCCGCAAGTTCTGATCAGCAATGCCTCCTCGTAGGAGAGCGCCGATTTCTGCGGCCAACTTGCGGTCCACGCAATCTGGAGAGGTAAGTTGGAGTTAAAAAAAAGAAAGATTTCCGCGCCGTCTCTCGCCGTCTCTCGCCGCCCTCATTAACCTTATGCGACGTCTTAGGCCGCTGCCTCTTCCAGGCCAGGAACCACCGATGCTTCCAAACGCAGACGCGCCTCTCAGTCCAAACCTGCTCCGCCCCCAGAAGAGCCAACTCCCGTCGTCGAGGAACAGCCGCAAGCTTCCGATGAGGAGCATTCTCACACTTCGTACCGCCACCGAGATCCCTTCGATGCTCTTCTCGAGCCGTTCTACTACAACAAGGGCCTAACGGATCCGATCAACACCGCCAAGGATAAATGGAACCTGCTGCCGGCATTCCTCAAGGTCAAAGGTCTGGTGAAGCAGCACATTGACTCATACAACTACCTGGTCGAGGTCCAATTGAAGAAGATCGTCGAATCCAGCTCCACAATCCGCAGCGATGTCGACCACAACTTCTACATAAAGTTCACCAACATCTACCTGGGATTCCCTCGACGTGCAGACGAGCCGCAAGATGTCCGGGCCGATTTCTCAGAGTCCACTGTGGCCCCGCACGAATGTCGCCTTCGTGACACAACCTACGCGGCGCCCATTCAAGTCGACTTTGAGTATGTTCGTGGACGCCAAAGGGTTATGAGGAAAGGTGTGGCCATTGGAAGAATGCCGGTCATGCTTCGGAGTTCGAAGTGCGCGTTGGCGAACAAGACTCCAGCGGAGATGTCCGTCTTGAATGAGTGCCCTCTTGACCCTGGTGGTTATTTTATCGTCAACGGTACAGAGAAGGTCATCCTCGTCCAGGAGCAGTTGAGCAAGAACAGAATCATCGTCGAGACGGATCCCAAGAAAGAGATTGTCCAGGCCTCGGTCACTAGGTAACACTCTGCCGCTTTTCCCCCATTCCATTGGTGGGCACTGGTACTAATCTCTTTGTGCAGTTCTTCCAACGAACGTAAATCCAAAAGTTATATCGTGTTGAAGAAAGACAAGCTCTACGTGAAACACAACGTTCTCAGCGAGGACATCCCCATTGTGATCCTGCTCAAGGCCATGGGTATCCACACCGACAAAGAGATGCTCTTGCTCGTCGCCGGTGTCGATAAGGTCTACCAGGAAGATTTTGCGATCAATTTCGAAGAGGCGATCAAGCTTGGTATCTATACCCAGCAACAGGCACTCGACTGGATTGGCGCACGGATTAAAATCAACCGCAAGCAATCCACATATCGCCGAACTCATGTGCAAGAGGCTGTGGAAGCCATCGCTTCCGTTATCATCTCTCACATCGAAGTCAAGAACATGGATTTCCGACCTAAGGCTATCTATGTCGCCCACATGGCTCGTCGTGTTCTCATGGCTAAGAATGATGCTACTCTGGTAGACGATCGCGACTATCTCGGAAACAAGCGGTTGGAACTGGCTGGCCAGCTGTTGGCTCTGCTTTTCGAGGACTTGTTCAAGAAGTTCTGCTTCGATATCAAAATGAACATCGACAAAGTGCTGAACAAGCGGAATCGTGCCGAGGCCTTTGATGCATATAGCGTGATTACGATGCACAGCAACCACATTACTCAAGGAATGAACCGCGCTATTTCCACCGGAAACTGGAGTTTGAAACGTTTCCGCATGGAGCGTGCAGGTGTGACACACGTGCTAAGTCGGTTGAGTTACCTTGCCGCTCTGGGTATGATGACGCGTATCAGCAGTCAGTTCGAAAAGACCAGAAAGGTCAGTGGTCCCAGAGCACTGCAACCATCCAACTTCGGTATGCTCTGTCCGGCCGATACTCCGGAAGGTGAAGCTTGCGGTCTCGTGAAGAACTTGGCACTCATGACCCACATCACAACGAATGACGAGGAGGGCCCTATCCGGAACTTGATCTTTATGCTCGGTGCTGAAGACATTTCCACAGTCGGTGGAAAGGAACTTTATGGCCCGGGCTGCTACACTATCTCGATCAATGGTACTCCTATGGCGCTCACTCGACGACCGAAATTTTTCCTCAATGCTTTCCGAAGACTCCGTCGGATGGGTCGAATCTCCGAGTTCGTCAGCATTTACATCAACCACCACCAGCGGGCTGTTCACGTAGCCACCGATGACGGAAGAATCTGCAGACCGCTTGTCATTGTTGATAACGGCAAATCTCGCGTGAAGGCCCATCATCTTGAGAAGCTGCGGGATGGTACCATGGCTTTCGACGACTTCCTTGCTCAGGGATTGGTGGAATATCTTGATGTGAACGAGGAGAACGATTCATTAATTGCTATCTACGAGAAAGATATTACTGAAACAACGACTCACCTGGAGATTGAGCCGTTTACTGTTCTTGGAGCTGTCGCCGGTCTGATCCCGTATCCCCACCACAACCAGTCGCCCCGTAACACTTATCAATGTGCTATGGGTAAACAAGCAATCGGTGCGATTGCTTCGAATCAATTCTTGCGGATTGATTCTATCTTATATCTCATGGTCTACCCGCAGAAGCCGATGGTCAAGTCCCGCACGATCGAGCTGGTCAAGTACGACCAACTACCCGCTGGACAAAATGCAACTGTTGCGGTTATGAGTTACTCAGGATACGATATTGAGGATGCCCTCGTGTTGAACAAGGGATCTGTGGATCGTGGATTCGGAAGATGTCAGGTGTTCAAAAAATACGTCACCAACTTGAAGAGTTACTCGAACGGCACCAAGGACCGCTTGAGTGGACCGCAGTACGAGAACGATGCTCCGATCAGGAAACATGCCCTGCTCGAGAGCGATGGTCTGGCTGCTGTGGGTGAGCAGGTCAACGCCGGTGAAGTCTACATCAACAAGTCCACGCCCGACCAGTCGATGTCCTCTGGGTTCGCCAGCTCTGACCCTGGCCGGCCCGTTTCTTATATGCCAACTCCCATGACCTACAAGCTTCCCGATCCTGCTTACATTGACAAGGTCATGATTTCTGTGACCGAAAACGAGAACCAGCTGGTCAAGGTCTTAACTCGACAAACACGTCGTCCCGAAGTCGGTGACAAGTTCTCCTCCCGTCACGGACAGAAGGGTGTCGTGGGTATTATCGCCGACCAAGCCGACATGCCCTTTACCGACCAAGGAATCAACCCGGACATCATCATGAACCCTCACGGTTTCCCCTCTCGCATGACAGTCGGAAAGATGTTGGAGCTTGTTGCAGGCAAAGCCGGTGTCTTGGCCGGCCACCATGGCTACGGCACTTGCTTCGGCGGCACTCCGGTTCAAGAGGCGTCTCAGATCCTGATCGACCACGGCTTCAGCTATGGTGGTAAAGACTATCTTACCTCCGGTATCACGGGCGAGGCTCTGCCATTCTATGTCTTCACCGGTCCCATCTACTACCAGAAACTCAAGCACATGGTGCAGGACAAGATGCACTCGCGTGCTCGCGGACCGCGCGCCATTCTCACCCGCCAGCCCACGGAGGGTCGTTCCCGTGACGGTGGTCTCCGTCTCGGTGAGATGGAGCGTGATTGTCTGATTGCGTACGGTACCAGTCAGCTGCTGCTGGAGCGACTGATGATCTCGTCTGATCGACACGAGATCGATGTGTGCGAGCAGTGTGGTTTCATGGGCTATCTGAACTGGTGTCAACGGTGCAAGTCCTCTCGGAGTGTGGTGAAGATGGCAATTCCGTACGCCGCCAAGCTTCTCATCCAGGAGCTGATGAGTATGAATGTCACTGCGCGATTGAAGTTGGAAGATGAGTTTCCCGAGATGAAGGGTCGGTAGACGAAGACGGTTCAAAACATCAACAACAAAAGCACTTCTGTCAGTCTTCCATTTTTGGCGAGATATATAAAGTAAACCAAACGGAAGGGAAAAAGTTCAGGTCATTTGAGAGACAAAAAAGGAGGCGTTTAGAGCATCATTGGGAGGCTCCCGCTTGGGAAAGGGGGTTTTCGCTTGTACATAACGTTTGCATGCATAGCGCTCGGCGATGCGGTCGAATTTGAATAGAACAGTTTTGACTTATAAGAGTATCATACAAACACTGCCAGGTGGATATGTATACCGGTATTTCACTCACACGCCTTCAATTGACAGTACTGTCCGTCTAAACCCCGCCAAAATACCTCCGCACGACCCCCCAGTACCGGTCCGGATCGGTCCTCATATGCGACACATGCGCCGACCCGTCAAACTTGACCCTCTCGACCTCCCACCCCTGCCGCGCAACCTCCTCAGCATGACTCTCCACATCCCTCGCATCGACCACCCGATCCCCCTCGGAGTACAGATAACATCTCCTCGGCGCAGCCTCCGCCCCCTCCGTGCGGGAACCCCCCCGCACCACCAACCCCGCATCCACCGTCCCCCGCCGCCCGACCATCACCCCATCCGCGCGCGGCATGACGGTTGTCAACAGCATCGACCACCCCATAATCCCCGCCAGCACCAGCATCCCCAGCAGCCGCAGCACCGGGTTCGCCGGCAACCCGACGGCCAGCGCGCGCATGCCGCCGCGGAAGGTCGAGGTGCCCGGCGCGCTGTCGTAGAGCATGGCCTCGACGGCCAGCGGGCGGCCCGTGGCAGCCCGGTAGGCCTCGAGCAGGTGGGCGACGGCGAAGGTGCCGCCGTTGGAGAACATGTGGATGTAGACGCGGGGGTGGGAGGAGCCCGGCCCGCGGCTTGGGTCGTCCCGGCTGGTTGTTGCGTCGGCGGCGGCGGCGGCCCGGAGAGCGGTGACGGCGGGTTGCAGGCGCGCGTGCTGCGTGCGGGCGGTGAAATTAATCAAAAAGTCCAGGGAGGTGGAGAGCGTGTACAGGATCGTGGCGCGGGGGTAGAGGTCGAGGTAGGTGGTTAGGTATTTGGTGAGGGTGCGCGGGTGGGCGTTCATCCAGAAGGCGAGGATTATGATCTGCTCTGGTTTGTGGGGAGCATTGGCTGGACAGTGGATGTAGACGGAGGGGGAGAGTTGGGTGAAGGCTTTGAGGGGGTTGGGGGGAGGGGTGGATGCGGTGGTGGTCATTGTTTTGCTGTAGTGGTGTGTCTCTTTGGAATTGAATTGCGAGGTCTGGAGGGTGAGAGAGAACTTGAAGGAAGGGCAGGTTTGATTGTTTTTGTGTAGAACGGTGTAGTTATTCGGTAGATCCTATAGAATTCTATCCGAGGCAAGAAATCGGGGAGAAAAAGAACGTCAACACTCGGGAGGTTTCTTTGGTATAAATTGGAAGGATACGGAGTTGCGCTAGCCAGACTCTGGAATCCTAGATTATACGATCAGCCACCCGGCTTACCGTCACTAGAGGTAGTATTTATGACTCGTTGATTTTTCAGCTCCTAAGCACTAGACTCGAGCATCACTTCAAGAGTGGAGAGTCTTTGACATGGCGGCAATGCGGATTTTATGATTACTCACTGGTCAGCATGCCCCCCCCCCCGGGAACATCATTGTAAGGGCTGCATGCCTTGCACCTGGGCACAATGAATAACACGAGAAAAACCTCCCGATCAGAATTGGTACTAAAGCTAAACCTATCAAACGCCAGTCCTCGCTATGCTCTAATATCGTCCTGCTTTTGTCCCGTGTCTCAGTCTATCACTCATGAGTTTGTCATTCAACCCCAGGAATGTCCCGAACCTAGGGCTTGTATAAGGGCTTGGGTCTCAATGCGCCCGTAAGACATTGCCGGACCTGCGTTGCACCGTTTCGAATTGCTCGCTGTTCTCGACTAGGTAGGCGTAGCAGAGCCACTGGCGTCCTTCTTCTTTCCTCTCAACGTTTGCCCGGATCCTTGGAATCGGGGCTTGTCTCCTTCAACAACCTGCCCGGTTTCATCGCGCTTCTTCACAGGCTTGATTGCGTATCCAAAGAAAAGCTGATTCGGGGGCAGTCGAAGAGGCTGCGGCCCGTTGGTTCTCCTGACCGGAGGAGGATGCTGAGGGTTGGTAGCACCAGGTGTGGGAGTGGATGGTTTGGGTGTGGGGGTTTTACTACCCTTCTTAGCGTTCAAACGCTGTCCACCGACAAGGAAGTTTGACGACACAGCCCTTGCTCCGGCAGCGGCGTCGGTTGACTCGGGTGCGATGGCAGCATAATTGATTGACTGTGCCATGGTGCCATGGGGATGTAGCAAGCCACCGGACGGCAACTTGCCGCTTACTCCGCTGCGAGGCGTACTGGTTCCACTGGGACGTTGCGGCTCCTCGTAGCCCACCGGAGGCGCAAAGTCGACTTCAAGGTCGGTCTCGAGGACTGAAATAGCGTTGCTCTGGCCAGAAGGCTTGGTTTCTAAGACAGCCATCTCGTAGACCTGGTCGTTGTAGGCGAATGTGAAGACGTCACCCTTGGTCAGGCAAGAGAAGTTTCGGAAGGCATTCTCCAACACGGCCTTGGGGTCGCTGATGTCGAGGAAACTGGTTGACTGAGCCTGTAGCTTGATGAACTGGCCCGGTGATAGGTCGGTGGATTTGATCTGAACTAGATCGCCAGGCTCCAGAAGAAGTGTTTGCATCAACTATAGCACCAATTATCAGCTCTGCGACCATGTATAGGTTGTGGCAGGGACCTACCCAGAATGGCAGGTAGATCTTCCCCTCCTCCGCAATGAATTCCAAGACACCCGCATGGGTCATTCTTTCCCTGGCACCATTGTGAAGCTCAAACAACATGGGGTATGTGATATGCAAGCGCGTCAGCTTGTCCAAAGCGCTAGGCGGCATGATGACCTTGCCGCCGTGGTTGACATTTTCTCTCTCTGGACCGGGCATCATCGCAACAGGGTAGCATCGGTAATATTCATCGAAACGGCGGGCTGCTCCTCCACGACGAAGCATACTGGAGCCAAGCACCCCCTCCATCGGATCGTCCTCCCAGTAACCGGGCTGAAACTGCTTCCGTTTAGTATGGGATATCTGAGTGACTTGACGGCGTGCAAGCGGGGAGGGGGAACCCACCATGACCAACGGGAGCTAGCTAAGGAGATGATTGGAAGCTGGAAGAGATATGAGTGTTGGGAACAAGACTCAATAGCGGCTTGTGATGAATGGTATGGCCGAAGGTGACGAGCCCGGGAAGAGATGTCAAGAAGTACTGAGGTGTAGCAAACAGAGCTCGAGCAGTTGTAGAGAGTGACGGGAGTTCAGGTACGTTCGGCCGATCAATCGGATCGCCTGCGGTGACGCAAATGGCGCGGCTCCGCTTTGATTTTCCGACCCGACCCCAGACAACGCAGTGCAGCTTCAAAATGTCTTGATTCTTACCTCTGTTCGCCCCGACCTTCTGGCTCATTTGCAACCAAATATAGAGTTGACAGTTTACTGCGATCCGTGACTCCCTCCCACGCCTTCCCATGTCAGCCTCTCAGCCCCGCCCCAAGCGGGCAGGTGAAGACTTCACCCGTACACACCACGAGGACGAGGACGGCTCATCGACCAAGAAGCCTCGTTTTGATCTGCGAAACCCCTCTGCTCTTGCTCCCGATGCACTAGAAGAAGACGCAGTTCTAGATGCCGACGAAATCGGACGCCGAGGCCAACAAGTCCGCCGCAAAGCCGTCAACTTGGACGGTTACGACTCCGACAGTGAAAACGAGGGCTTCTCAGCGCGCATTGAGGCCAAGTCAAAAGCAAGCCGAGAGAAGCACGACGCTGAGGACGATGACATGTTTGCCGAATTGCAGGAGGACTTTGGGCCCGAGGAGATCGATGCCGATGAAGCCATGCGCAAAAACAAGAAGAACGTCCGGTTCCTGCGGGACGACGAGATAGAAGGACAGGTTGCCTCGTCCAAGAGTGGCGGGACGGTGCACGCAGATTTTACCAAGGGGGCTGACACAATTGAGGACGAGGAGGACGAAAGCGAAAGCGAGGTCGGGGATGAAGAGCGCGCTAGACCCGACGAGGAGCTGGATGAAGAACTGGGTGCGGGTGCGAAGAAGAAGCATGCACCACTCCTAGACGCTTTCAACATGCGCACCGAACAAGAAGAAGGTCGCTTCGATGACCAAGGAAACTATGTCCGAAAGGCAGCAGATCCCGACGCGGTCTACGACACGTGGCTGCAGGGGGTCTCTAAAAAGGACATCCGACGCGCCAGGGAAGCTGCAGAGAAGCGGGAGGAAGAGCGCAAGGAAAAAGAGCGCAAAGACGATAGTGTACTCACCGCGGATGTCTTGAGAACTCTTATCACCCATCTGGAACGAGGCGAGACGATCTTAGAAGCTCTGGCAAGAATAGGCAAGGGCGCTCAAAAGAAGCAAAAATGGCAGACCAATCGCAATAAAAACCGCAAAAAGCAGAGTGACGCTGCACCTGAGGATGCGGAGATGACAGAGGACGATCCAAAGGAAGTGGCCAGAAAGCAGGCTATCGAAGAGATCACCGGTGCTGCCGACATCCTCATGACTAGAGGGCAGGCAGAGATCTATGACACTGAACGCGAGATCCTTACAAGGCAGTACCGCCGCGAGACCGGCGAGGACTGGGTCGATCCTCCGTCTGCAGACTCCTCCAACTCCGTGGAAGAATCCCCTGCGATGTGGGAGTTTCGGTGGTCCGATGCTCGTGACGGTGGAGTCATACATGGCCCATACGATGCTCCTACGATGGAGTCTTGGAGAAATGCAGGATATTTTGGGGAAGGAGTTGAGTTTCGCCAAACGAATGACGGCAGTCAGTGGAACAGTACAGCTATCTTTGTTTGAGACTGGCGTGCCCAGTCTATGTCACGAGGCGAATATTGTATATGTAAATTAGCATCGTCGGATACCCGGGTTCTTGGGAATATTAATCTCATCATTATCATTCGAGCCTAGGCTAGGCTCACTTTTGACTAAAATCTGACCCTAAAATCAAAGTGCCCATACCTTGACTTCTCAAAAAGCGCCGGCAATATCATACATCAAGCAATTGATGCGAAAACAACAAACAGATCGAGTCAAGTAGACGAGGGAGTGGCTGGATTACTCCTTGCCTACACCATTCCATCTGCGACATCTGATCACTGAAAACAGATCCGTGTATGACCGTCTTTGCATAACTCCAAGAACGTCCTTAGGAAATCAACTCTATGACAGTTCCATGGCATCGCCATTTGTGGGGGCAGTGAAGCTCACTGCACCTTGATCGCCAATGAACCGTTGCTCATACGCGTTGACAAACTTGACGCTCCGAGCAGGGTCGTAGAACAGGCGATAGCTGCGCTGGACATCATCAATGCTGACTTCCTTCGCCTTGCGCTTCTGGCTGAGCAAATGAGATGTTGTGATGATGTTGCTGGCGTATCTCAGATTCGATTCTTGGCCGATTTTCGTCAGAAGTGCCAAGGCATCGGGTGAGAGGTCGATCTCCTCTTCCTGTGCCCGAATGGCCAAGATCTGTCTGATCTCGTCCGCAGAGTAAGGCTGTGTGCTGACAATGACCACTCGGTCAAGGAAGTCCAAAGGCAATCCGTGCGGAGAGCTGTAGGTAGTGCCGCGGATCCGGGAGTGGCCACGGTTGCTGGCCATGATAACGATGGGTGCCAGTTCCGCCTCCAGAGCACGGTTGATGTACGAGAAACATTCGATATCCAGCATATGCACCTCATCAATGAACAGAACACCGGGAATAATCTCGGCCTTGCCTTCTTCTTTCCACTCAGCCACCTTGGTGTTGATCTGATCCCTGACCTCACTCCGGATCTCGCCCGTGTCACCCGAGAAGAGGGCCAAGAAGCCCTGTGACCGCGAATTGATGACATCGATTTCGTGCAGGCTAACAGTGTGTACGATCTCCTTGCGAACCTGAAGCTCACCCTCAGGACATTGCACAAATTTGGTGTCGGCGCCCATGGCATCATAATCCCGGGAGCGTGCGTAAGAACGTCCTAACTTGGTGATTTTGCCGGACGACTTGTCGATAGAAATGATGTCTCCTGCCATCACTCTCTCCTTGGTCATCGAGTCGATCATCTTTGTTCCCATGTCATAGATTGTCTCCATATCCGTTGTCTTGATTGTGAGCTTTCCTTGTTTGTTTCCCTGGGCAAGTCAGCATCGACATGTTGCGCCAAGCATTGAAGCAGGTGAGATCGAAGTGAGTGCTGGGTGAAGTTTCGAATGACGGTTTGTGAGAGATCTACTTACACCGGTCACACTTCTATCGATCTGAATCTCCACAACTTCGCCCTCAATTATTTCGCTTTCCTCCTTGATGCGAACCCCGATGGACTTCCGGAAAGCTTGCGTGAGAGCCTCCGTCTTGGACATCTCCATCGAGAAGATTTCGGAAGAAGCGAGCATGGTGAAAGGAACATCCGGTCCAAGAGACTGGGCCATGCCCATGGCGATGGCTGTTTTACCCGTGCTGGGAGGCCCTGCGATCAACACAGCTCGACCAGCGATTTTGCCTTCCTTTACCATCTGCAGAATGACAGCAGCAGCCTTGCGGGCCTTTTCCTGACCCACAAGACCCTGGGAGGAAGCTCTGGGCTGCAAAGAGTCGATATCAACACCGAGGCCACGAATATGCGAATGAGCAGCAATGAGGTTCAAACCCCGGAGCTCCTTGGTCTCCGCAACGGTAGAAATTGGCTGTCGGCAGTCAGCAATGGGAGGGAGTTAACTAGGATTGGAGAAGGTGTTGGCGGTCAACTCACGGCAGCCATCGCAACTACTTGCAGACACGAAAAACTTTTCCTGTGGACGAGTGACAAGTAGCAAGTGAATTCGATGTACCAGCCCAAAACTGGTCTGCAGGCGTTGCGGAAATGCAGACTGAATGGAAGAGCTGCGCAGGGCAGAATCGGCCGAGCCCACAGGATACCGCCCGGTGTACCGCCCGGCAGAAAACTGTTGTTCGCGCCGGGGCCCGTGCCTCTGAGATTTGTGGCGGCCGACAAGAGATGGCACTACAGACCACTACAAGTGAATGATGGGCCAGCGATCCAACTGTTCACTGGGTCAGTTTCGGCTGCTTCACGCGTCGTTTTCCCACTGCTTGTTGTCCCGCTGCTTGTTGCTCTGTTTATCGCATCCATGACAACTGGTATACAGGGCGCCAAGGATCCATGAACGTAAGCAATTTACCTTTTCTGGTTTTGTCTTGTACCAACCTGAACTTCCCCATAACCTTCCAATGTGATGTTTACCCTCAATGATCGCTCTTTCCACATTGTCTCCCGCAACATGGATTCAATTGAGTAGAAAGGTCATCGGTTTACCAAGATTACTCGACAGTTTTTCCCCAAAAACTTGACAAGTTGCCATGGAACCAGAGACCTCACCCTCACGCGACCCCCGCCTGGCTCGCCCTTTCAGACCAACTGCTGCCCGCACATTGTCCGAGACTCACTCGCGACTCAGTGCACAGCAATTAAGCACCCACTCGGTTACTGAACGGAATACTTCCAATCCCGACCACCTAATACGCGGTGTCTCCGACCTGGTCCAAGCCGCAATCCTCGCCGCCAATAGCAAGTCGGAGAGAGACCGATTACAGAAAAGAAAGGAGGCTACCGCGACATTATGCACAAAAGCCAAAAGCGTCAACATTTTTCCTTCGACTGCGGCTTTCTTCCAACAATCTCAAGCAGATGAGGACGCGGAGCTCACACGTGTCGAGGAGGCCCTCAAGAGGCATAATGCTACTTACCAACAGCGCGAAAATGCTTTGCGGCTCACACTCGGCTCGTCCATCTTCGATACGAGTAGATCCGAACAGACTAACCACTTGCAGCGCGAAGTTCAGACAGCAAGAAGCGATTTGGGCAGCGCCAGGGCTGAGATCACTAAGCTGCGAGACTATAATGTGACTTTAGAGCACAAATTAAAAGAGCTCCAAGCCCGCGTGACCCGGACAGAGAAAGCTTCTTCGGACTATGCAAGCACGTTAAAAAGGCATGCAGATCATAATACGGAAACGAGTGAGCGCATTGCGCACCTCAGCTCGGCTTTGAACAAACAATCAGATTCATTGCCTCCGAAAGATCAGATGGATAAATTACTATCCTCAATCTTTGATGTGGGCGGTAGACTGGAGTCTCTTGAGACCAAGAACAAACAAGACATAGAGGAGTATCG